TGGGCCGTCATATTTTGAGGCAAGATTGGCAATACCTGAGAGTACCCGGACAACTCCCAACTATTGGGTTGCGAATAATTTTTTGTCAAAATTTCTTTTTGGAAATGTTTGAAAAAATCACATTAATCGTCGTATCTCGTTAACTTAAATGATTTGAGTATTCATAATTGGAGGCCAAATTCGCTAACCTTGAGGAAAACCTGACAGCATCACACTAATGAAATCCTTATTCAAAAACTAGTGAAACACAGAGGCGAAACGTAGCTTCGCACCACTTGCGATATGCCAAACATAATATTTTCCAAAATTTTTAAATTTGAAAAAACTAGGTGAACAAAAATTAAGGGCCCAGTTAAAGCTTGATGTACGTAATTGACTTTGAATGAAGTTTCTATTCTGATGCGGCACGAAAATTGAGATTACAACAATTCGACTTTGCCCAAAACCTTAGTTGTTTCTCTACTAAAATCAATTTTCCCAAGGAGATAACAATTCTTTTACAACAAATTAGGCATGCGGGTTCTACAGGAACAACTATCGCAACCGGTTCTTTCAATTGAACTTTTCGTCTCAAGTTTAATTGGGCAAATTTTAAGAAAATTCAAAACATTTCTAAAGAACGGTCAAAAGTATTAAGAAACTGTCAAAAGACTTTCTAAAGTCCATTTTTTCTGCAGAAAACAATTTGTGGCTACTTAAGCAGAGAAGATTCCCAAGACCGAGTTTGGCGATTGAACACAACCTGCTATTGCCACAGTAGTTATCGTGTAAAATCAAAAAAATTCCAAAAAAAAACTTTCAAAGTTCCACAGCTTGAAGGCCATAACTTTTCAAAATAAACTGCGCATAGCTAAGTTGAAAAATTTTCAACAATCTGTTTATATGATTAAACCAATGATGTCAGATTTCGCAGGATAGTTATCGAGAAACGTCAAAAAAACGGTCAATACATCAAAAATTTGACGATTCCAAGAATCATAGCTGTTTGTGTGAAAAAAAATGTGTGAAAGGCAGATTCATCATTCAGAAGGGACTCAGGCAATCTTTAATTTCAACTCAGCCCAAAATTTTACATTTGGAGGGTAGTTTTTGAGAAATGTCACAAACTTTCAAAAAAACGGTCACAAAATCAAAATTTTTACTTATCCTAGGGGCAAAAAATTTGCGCGGAATCAAAAAATTATGCGTAGTCGCATGAGCATATAATTTTCCCGGAGCCCACTCACAGAATTGAACCCAAAATTACGGGAATGGCAGGGTAGATTTCGCGAATATTCAAATAGTTCAAGATAACTGTCAAAAAATCGAACACTTGACTATTCCGATGTCCATAAAATTTGAGAGGGGTAGATTTGAGAAAACCGAAAAAGTCTGTGGGAGAATGTTTTGGATTTTTCTGTTTTCTCAAATCTACCCCTATAATTTTTCGATGGAAATTCCTTCGAAAAAGTCTGTGGGAGAATGTTTTGGATTTTTCTAAGGAAATAATTTTCCATAACATTAAAGAAACTTCAACAAACCGATTCGTAAACATACAACCAAATTGAAAAAGTGGAGGGGAGTGTTTAAATTGTCTTAATCTTGAAACGACCCAAAATTAGGTCTGTAGGCCGATAAAAAAATTATTTGGGCCGTTAAACTTTTATAGCTAAACAAAAAAAACAAAGGAAATGCGAAAGCAAGGAAAGTAAAAGTACAAATTATAGGAGTAAATCAAACACTCAAAGCAACCTTAAAGAAAAATGCGCGTAGCAACAAAAAACACTTCCAAGATGTGACAACTTAGCCGACAACAGATAAGCAGACAAATAAAAAATCGATCGCTTGAAAAAAAAAACAGGTGCGGATCAGATTCGAACCCAGGACATTTGTCGTCCCAGGCATATTCGTTATCTCCAGGCTAAGTTGGCCGGGAACGCATAGAAGTTGCAATTTATTATGTATCAAGACACAAGTGATTCTGTTAAACAAGTTGTTAACCCGAAAAAAAATCTGTATTCCTGTTTGAGAACGCTTGCTAATCCCAAGCGTAATAAACACGGAATTCAAACTGGAAAACCGAAAAAAATCTTAACCATTGCAATATACGAAACGTGGAAAAATTCTTTCGTTAAACATGCAAAAAGACAGACTTAAATTCAGTTTTCATTAATCAAAAATCTTGACTTTTCATATCCCTAGCACAGTTTTTAGCAAACGTTATCCAATAGTTTTCATACAAGCTCACCTAGATTGCAGAGTAAAAGCCGACATGGTTTTTCTCAAGCTTCAACTAATAAACCAAAGTCTAATGAACCCTTCAAACCTTTATTTCATTTAATTTCTGAAGTAGATGATAACAAATTGAACTTCTAGTCGGAAAAACCATGTTCTATTTTACATAACGGAGATAAAATTTTCAAGCTCCATATTGATAATCCTCTCAAACAATGCTTTTGCTAAATGTCCGAGACAAAAAGCGGCAAAAACATGGATTTTACAGTTTTTAAAGTGATCGAGGTAAAAGTATCTCGAGTTGAAAAGTGCAATTTAAATGAACTTCAAAAATCTGCTCAGCAAGAATAACTCGCCTCCTTCTGATATGCAATTAGATTTGGAAATAGCAACGACTGACATTTAAAAAGCAGAGCTTTTCAAAGTATTTCAGCTCAGTATTCGACTCGAAATCAATATCTCTGGTTGCTAGTATGAACAGAATGAGCAAAATCAGTTGGTACGAGGTTTGTCCGATTATATCAATTGATCGAGACTACTTGGAACAATCAGAAAACTCATGTGCGGCTGGGCCGGGCCTTTTACTAATTCAATGTGCAGATAATTCAGCTCCATTGATTTTTCAAAGCTGAAACAGTTCTTATCGAATGGCTATCTTACTGGAAGTCAGCATTCGTTAATGCTATACACAAAAGTGATTTCACTAGTAACACGACAAATCGGACAACATACTAATCAGCATCCTTTAATAAATCAGTACCCTTTCAGTCAGCATCCTTATTTATGTTTTAGGATTTGAAATTTCAAATTCTCGATATTTAAAACATTTCTCAAAACTTCAAGACAATCTGTCCAAATATTTGGCCTTGACATATGGAAAGATCTTAAGTTGATACTTATCCAGATTTTGGATTGAAACAAACTTCTACAATATTCATGATCTTCGCTGAAACATTGTCCTCAACGTCATTTGTTAACCATTGTCTCCTATCGTCATTTGTTCGGTGATTGCTTGTTCGATAAAAGATAGCCAGTTACTACGTAATTAGCACATAAAGCTCCGACCATAGTCGTATAAAACAGCTAAACGAAAAAACAAAGAATAGGCATAATCGATTATAAGCAAAACCTTTTTCAAACAGTTATTGAGACATAGTCTTCGAAAATCTCAAAAGAATTCTTTCCAACCCGTCTTTCAAGATATGATATTCCATTTGATTTTGAATGCCCACCATCTTTTGTCCTTTTAAAGATCAAAACAATTATATATAATTCTAGACAGTTAAGTTAAGTTTTAGCAACCATTCAAATTTTCCAAGAAAAACGGCAAAAAAAAGTTCAATGGATAAAAAGAAAAATCGACTTGAAGCTCGGCTAGGTCTACCATTCGATCTGCGACCTACTGCAACCAGGAGATTTTGAGTCTCACGCACTATCCACTCAGCCACGCAAGCTTAACAACTGACAAACACTAGTCACGAATAAAGCAGCTACATATGCTAATAAATTGCCAATGCAATTCAGCAACAGTGGCACCAAAAACAATTACTTAATTTTGCATGTAATAATTTGGATAATAACACACGGAAGGCATCCACACTAACTTTGCATGTAACAAATAGCAAAGCATAAAGCCATATTATGTATAAAATAAGCATTTCAAAAAATTGCGAGAAATATTGAATTAGAAAATTCCTAAAATCGAGTTTTCATTATTCCTATGTTATATGAAACAACTCACTTCTTTCGGTTCATTTAATGAATTGAAAATGCATCAACTAAGTTAACTTATTACTATTCGAATGCCAAAGCCCATGCTATGAAAAATCTATAAAGGTGCCCCAAAACTGGCACCAATATTTGCGACTGGTTCAGAAAAAAAAGAAGGTTCGTACTAATACACTCACTTCGCAAGTGTAAACAGGCAAAAAACGCTTTAAGACACATTTTGGAAAATGTTGACCAAGAAACCGCATTTTTTTGGCGCGCGCTCGCCTCTTAAAATTAGAAGATATTGGCTCCAATCGCACCTTTGAGAAAATTTTAGGGTCAGTTAAAAATGGCTATCTCAAAATAGTACAAAAGGGGGACCATTTGGTCGGCAGAGGGTCGAACGGCCGTCGAACGTGGTTTATGGAAAACAAGAGACAAGCGGAACATGCATGCACTCAGGAGAGTAGGTTACCTTTTTTGAAAATCGGTACGGTAGTTTTCAAAAAAATTGCGAAAAGTGCAAAAAAGTTCCAAAAAGTCACTAAACAAATGAACGTGGAAAACCAAATCCCATCCATTTTCACAATACCTGTTTTCATCAAACGGGAACAATAAACATATTCCAATAAATGCTGATAAACTCTAACAATAGCAAAACTGCCAACTTTAGTGAAACTAAAATATGCGAATTCGGTTGGATTCGCACTATGACACAAGCGTTCCCTTGAGTGTACAGCCACGCTGCACCAATTTTTATTAGAATGCTTATTTTGGAAAGTTGTGAGCAAAATATCACAACTTTGCGGTCACTCAAAACATTCTATGAGTTTATCTTCTGAATTGTTGAGCGCTTTTTTGTTCAGCCAATTGAGCCGAATGAATGACCTTTGTAGCTCGTTGCCGACATTCCCTGTTTCATGCAACTTCTAGATGCGCCAAAAAAATCGTCCGCACTTTCGAAGATCATACCCTGGACTGACAGTCATTATTTTTACATACCTTGAAAGCCTGTATGACTGCCGAGAAAAAACTGCTCTTTAGAAAACAAATTGTGAAAATTTACAAATTAAAAGTTTATAATTAAATTCAAAGCAACAAGGGAAAACAATAATAATTTGATATAATTTTTGCACATCTTATTTTTCTGCATTTTCTCGAAGTCATTTGCGTAATGAAACTGAACGAGATAACTTCACTAACAGTATTTGGTCTTTGTTTTTTTTCAGTTTGAGCAGTTGAGGACAAGGCTACTAACATTGTCTTGTCAAGACTTGGTTGGACTAATGATATATGTATTATCCACTGAAGGAAAAGCACTTTAGGTTGTTAAGGGCATAGCTGCTATTAGGATAGTTGATAAAACACAACAAATCTACACACTATTAGCGCTGTTTCCGCTATCTTTTTCAACCCACAGAGTTTGTATTTACACACTGATCGCTTGTCAGTTTATTGCCGTGGAGATAAGATGTGAACATCATTTTAGAAGATACTACTGGGCTATACGTTGTAGAGGGGCGAGTACTTGTAGCTGGATTTGGCGTTGCCCAAGCCCCCGTTGTTTCGGTAGAAGTGTGATGATGTGTGGAAGGGACTGAACCAGCGGTAGCTGAAGTGATCTCCAAACACATTGCGAAGCCCCTTCATACCAGAACTCTTCTCCCAAGTCGCGTCTTCTCTCTTCAGCTGTTCTATTCCCTACATTCACGCAAAAAAACATCTAAATGTTCCTTTTACAAAGAAATTAACGCCAAACGGAACGCTTTTACAGTAAAACTTTAGAGTGCGACTCAGTATTAGAAAAGTTGTGGCTTTTGTCAACGCATAATAACGCACTCCAAAACAAAAGCATATATTAAGCTCATAATCTATACTATTGTAGAAAAAAAACACAACGGAATTTGAGCAAGAAACAGTGGTTGCTATGTATGCAGTACAGATTGTTCTCAGCAAAAATACCTTCGTGGTCGGAAAAATACGGGGTCTTAAGCAAACAACCCGAAATCAAGATTTTTATATATTGATCTGAAATTTCTACTTTCGAAACTCTACTTTCGAAACTAGAAATCATTTTTCGTCACATTAACCTTTTTAACGTTCGATAGTGGAAATTGCCTTCCTTTCGACAGGATATGAACTGAACTTAAAAAGAAATCGAAGGTCATACTGCGAAATAAATATAAGCCTAAACAATTTTGAAGATTTTAACTGAAAAAAAAAATCATCGCGACCAATAAAACAGTTTGAACTTCGTTCATCGACTCTTAAAAAGTTATACATATAGGCGAAGCTGAGCTTCGCAAACACTTGCAAGAACACAACAAAAAAGCAGCTCTGTAAATTAGAAATCAGCCTCGAAATAGTAAAAAAAAATCGGCTACGTTTCGGATTCGATCTGCGACCTAGAAATTATGAGTCTCACGCACTAACCACTCACCCATAAATGCTTAATAAATCACAAACACCAGCCAAAAATAAAGCAGAGGACAGATGCTATGAAACTTTCAATGCTACAGGTCGTGATTATAGCAAAAGTGTCACCAAATAAGTGAACACTTTTTATTTGCGAGTTAGGTTGGAAAACGAAGGTCCGCACTAATTCTCTAGGCTCTCAATCTCGCTAGTGTAAACTTAGCCAGCTGACAAATGGAAAAGAGTAATGAAAGCAAATAAACGGAAAGAAAAACACCGACTATAATGAAAAAATCTCAAACTTGTAATTTCAACAAAAAATTCCCTTTAAGCTCTTTGAATTTCTAGAAAAAATTATAATTGGCGCTTTTTTGATAACATTAACCCAACCTGAGAAGGTTGGATCAAATTAAAATCAACCTGCGAAACTAGAAACGGTTCCCGTTTTTTTGCGCCATTTCCACGTTATACGCCAGTTTCTTGCTATTTACGGAACTTTCAGCAGATGAATTACATTGAATTCAAAAAGTGCATGTAAACCCAAGTGCATTCATAAATAAATTAATAAGTATGAATGCATATCTGTAGTTATCAGAGCAATTTAAAAGTTTTTTCGAAAAAAAAATAACCAAGACCTATAAAAGAGTCTTCACTTCGTTCATTACTCTTAACCATGGAGAATTAACAAAAAAGTAGTCTTTATGTCGACAAACTTTCTGTTGACAGAATTTATGTCTCAAGGTTCCTTGTAAACTCAAACACAGGCGAAGTTGCAAATGCCAAAAACACCGCCAACTAACAGTTGGAAAAGAGCAATGAACGCAAGGAAACTGAAAAAAAAAACGAACCTGTTTTTTCAAGAGCCTTCAACTTTTGAATTTCAAAGAAAAAAATAGATGACCTTAAAGCTCTTTGAATTGGTAGAACTCTTTATGATGGACATTTTCCTGTTAAAGTTAACCCAATTTGAGAAAACTGGATTAAGACGTAATACTTTTATTTCACTGGGAAATCTGATATTAATTTTCATTTTAGAAATCAGAAGTCGATCACGTTCTCCTGGATTTACACTTTTGATGTTCAATAGTGGCGTTTGCCTTCCTTTAAACAATGAAAATGCACTGAGCTTAACAAGAAACCACAAGTAAAACCCCAAAAAAAATAAAATTGAGCGTGAACAAATAGGACTTTTTCCTGAAAATGAAAAAAAAAACACCAAAAACCAATGTAAGAGTATTCGCAACGCTCATGATCCCCCAAACTAAACAAAAATCAGGTTGTGCGCTCAGGTATGTATGCATAAATGCATTAATATGCATGAATGCACATCTGTAATTAAAAAACAAAAAAAAATCAGCAAGACCTATATAAGAGTACTCACTACGTTCATTACTCATAAGCAAGCGAGAAAATTGCATAAGTAGCTATTAAAAGTGAAAAGGGTAAAAGCAAAATATTCTTGATTTTTCAGGCATGTGAATACTTTTGACATTTGTTGCCCATGGCATTAGGAAATCCCCCAGATAAAGAATCAGAACAAAATTAACAGAGTTAACTTTTTCATTTATTGTGTACGTTAAATTTTTTTGAAGTGAACTCTCTATTGAGCTTACGGTTGAGTCGTCGATAATGTTTGAAGTCTGGGTGCAGAACATGATGAGGGTGAAAAGGAAAAAGAGGATGGCCTCCACTGCAGTCAGCGCCAACAGCACAGTAGTAACAGCAGGAGAAAATCCACTTGGACATGTCTCGTGGAATATCTTACGCTCTACACAGTAAAAATCAACATGTACGCATTCATGCAGAAACTGATGATAAAGTTTCCGCTAAGTTGTTTGTCCTTTCCCTTGCTACTATCAACCATGCGGAGTCGAACGTTTGATATATTTGAGAAAGATAAGAATCGTGGAAGCGCTATTAAACGTGGAAGCGCTATTTAACCAAAATTTTAAAGTGGAAACGCTATGTAACCATTGCACTGCTTTGAGACGTCCTCTTGTTTATCGAATATCTTTGTAAGCAGTAGATTATCTATAGGGTAGCTACTGGACAAAAATACCAGGACGAAATTTTGAAAAAGTTAAGTCCCGGACTGAAAAATTAGTATTATAAATTTTGTCGTTCTTAAATGTTTAGGTTCAGCTATCATATATGTTGGTGCAATTAATTAGTTAACTGATCAATGAAATAGTTAGTTACTTAGGAGTAGGGCCCTTCTTCTTCTCCCCCCCCCCCCCTCCCCCTGCGAGTTTTTACATGAAGAACTTTGACTCACAATGCCGGATGGTTGAGAAATTGACATACGAACTATTAGGCTATTCCAAACATTTGGGTGGGGGAAACGGAAACAGAAAAATAGCCAGAAGGATGAGGTGTTCTTACTGTCTTTGTCGCCCCAGTCAGCCAGGACGCAGCTGTAGAATGTGAAGATACACAACACTCCTCCGTGCAGTGACAAGGCAGCTATGTAGAACTAAAAAATACACAATACAATTATCATCGGTTATACAGTATGAATTCAAATAGCCAGTAAGAAAAGAAAACTGTACTTTTCGTAGAATAGAAAACCACTTTCCCATTATATCCTCCAGTAAATTATAGTCCCTTGAAAAAAGTCACAGCGTTGAAGGCTATAAATTGTTTGTTAATAAGGTGTGGGAGCCACGAAAACCATATTAAGGAAAATTGTCACCCAGAGAATATGTGGCGCTTCGAGCCAAGTGATTTTTCATCACGAACATAGCATGGCAGGCTAGCCAGAGAACTAGATCAACCAAAACGATCCACTGATTCTTTCGAATGAAGACCCTTTCAAGATAAATATGTCGAAAAGAACATTTACCAGCCTTGAATTAGCATTGCAAGAATTTACGCAGCGACAATTAAGTCGTTAAAACTTGATAATACGCCCATTAAACTGAAAAATTGTTGTCATAAAAAAGTACCTACCTTACTAAAAAAAAATTGTCATTTAAAAAAGTTAAAACTTAATGTTTAAGTACTGTCCTGAGTAAATCACAACGGATTAATTTCTATTTTCTCCCTTCAAAAGCCGCAAAATAAGCTGACTAAGCCAATAAAACAAACTGCGACTACTTAAAAGCAGATTTTAGCTTGAAGCAACCCAGATTTTAGTGATAATCCCACTGGGATGCAAACCATCTACCTCAAACTATTTCAAACTATCAACTATCTGGGAGAACAAGTCTTATATGTATTTTATTTGCCATTTGCACGCCTTATCAGACTACAAATTGGACCCAATAATTAGGCAATTTTAAACGGGAAACCTTCATGTGCCAATTCTGCGAATAAAGCTTCAAGCAATCAAAAAACTACCAATTTCAATACATTTGCCTTCGCAGGTGTAAACACCGCGAACAGAGAGTAGGAAAAGTCTAAAAGAACTCATTCCCGATCTTCAATTGATATCATTTTCATGGATTTAGAAAATACAACTTTACTCAACATAGATCGCATCTAAATAGCATCAAGATAATAAATTTAGATCAATTAACATAGCCAAGAGACTTTAAAAAATCTCAACTTTTGAATTTCAAAGAAAAGAACAGACAACCGTAAATCTCTTCTACTTTCTAGAATAATTTATGATTGACACTTTTTTAAACATTAGCCAACTGAGTTGGAAAAGTAATGAACGCAATGAAAGTGAAACAAGACTTTTTGAATTTCTAAGAAAATAGACGGCCTTAAAGCTCTTTAGATTTGTAGAACAATGTATGATGAACTTTTTTGTCAAAATTAAACCAATTTGCTAAAACTGGATCAAAAGGCAAAACTTTTATTTAACTGGGTTATCTGATAATTAATTTCCATTTTCGACATTAGAAGTCGATCACGTTTTTCGTGACCTTTACAATTTTGCTGTCCAATAGTAGAGTTTTCCTTCCTTTTTAACAATAGAAAAGCACTGAACTTAAAAAGAAATCACAAGTCAAACCGCGAAAAATCAAAATTCAGCGTGAACAAAATTCAAGACTTTTTCATAAGAAAAAACAAACAAAAAAATCAGCAAGACCTATACAAGAGTCTTCACTACGTTCATTACTCTTAATAAAAATAGGCCAATTTGAGACAAGTGAATATATAGAAAAACTTTTTATTTCGCAGGGAAACCTGATGACTAAATTCCTTTTTTGAAATTAGAAGTCAAATTCGTTTTTCGTGACGTTTACACTTTCACTATTCGATAGTGGAGTTGGTCTCCCTTCCAACGAAAACATGAACTGAACTAAAAAAGATATCAAGTCAAAACACAAAAAAGTAAAATTTGAGCCTAACAAATTTCACGACTTTTCCTGAAAAAAAAGGCAAAAAGAATCATCGCGACCTATATAAGAGTCTGGACTACGTTCATCGACTCTCAAACATTTTCGCCAGTAAAAAAGAACAAATCCAACAGACAGTTGGGAAAAAGTAAGTGAACGTAAAGAGGCAGAAAAACATGGACTTTTTTCCAAATTCAACTTTCGATTTTGAAGTCAAAAATATTCTGCCTTAATGCTCTTTGAATTTGAGAGAAGAAGATCAATAGGTAAAGTTTTTTATTCCGCTGCGATATCTGAAAATTAAAATCCATTTTTGAAACTAGAAATCGATCACATTTTTCGTGACATTTAACTTTTTGCTGTGCGATAGTGGAGCTTGTCTTCCGTTTACCGCGGGAAAAATTTCAACGAAAAATCAAAACTGAGCATGAACAATGTTAAGACTTTTCCTGAAAAAAAAACTCATCATGAACTATATAAGAGTCCGCACTGCGTTTATCGACTCAGAATATAAAAGTAGTGCGGACTCTTAATAATTAAATCAGAATATAACTAAGCAAACGAAAATTAAAGACAAATACAATAAACATTTTTTGTGCGATGAAAAAGTTATTTTTAAAAGAAATTGCAATCCCTTTGTGTAAAAATGGCTTTTCCTTCTTTCTGAAAAGCAAAAATCTATTGATAAGAAAGGGCTACTACAACAGCTACTACAATGGGCAAAAAGCAAGATAATTGCAAGAAAGGCAAGCCAGCAGAAAAAAAGCGAGATAAGAGCTACTAGGTGGAACAAATTTTCAAGCATGTCGAGGTGGAACAAATTTTCAAGCATGTCGAATTAACCATAAATAGAAAAATTTCAAATTCTTGTCTCGAATGATGTAAATTGAGGAAAACAGTATTAGCTGCACAATCGCCTGCATTAAAATTTTTCCAAAGGCGCGTTTGGTGCCAATCTATACTAATTTTGAGGGGGGGGGGGGGGGGGGCGTCGAAAAAACGTGATTTTTTGGTCAAATTTTTTCCAAAAAGTGCCTAAAAACGCGGCGCAGAAAGTTTGGCCAAAACAGCGACTAACACAGTGCTTAGGCAGAGCTCGAAAAATCAATTCGGTCGACCCAAAAAAAAGGTCGAAAAATTTTTCGAATTTTTTTTGAAAATCTGACCGCCCCCCTCGAGAAAAACCTAGATCCGCCTCTGCCGGAAACACACAAAAAAAATTTTTCCAATGAAAGCCGATATCATATAAGCCATATAATCCAAAACAAGCTTTTTAGCAAAAAAAAAAAACAAGAAGGGAAATTGGACAACGATTTACAAAAAAGTTTTTAAAAAATCAACAACACTTAAATTTACAATTCCCAACATAAATTTGCTTGTTGCATACAGCAGTTTGGTAGATTAACAAATATTATAAAAAATCAACAACACTTTCATTTACAATAAAATTGCTTGCAGCAGAAAATTCCGTGATGTGACAACTAAGACCCAAAACATAGACAGACAAACGATAGGTCAATGATGGGTCGGCAATTTTTTTGAAACGGGAACTTTTCAGTTTTAGAAAAAGTCCTGCAGGATTCCAACCAATCCAGGACCTTGGGCATCCTAGGTGCGATGATTACCTCTAGGCTAAGTGCAAGAGAAGCTAAAAAGTTTGAATTGTTATTAATCAAGCAATCAAATCACTCAAGTGATTTTGCTAAACAAGTTGTTAACCTGAAAAAGATACATTCTGACTCGATAATGCTTTCTCGTCGCAAGCCTTATTATTTATGTCAAAAGAAAAATTCAAATCTGTTACCCTTGATGAAGCACGAGCAAAAATGGTAAAAGGAGCTTTAAAATTGAAAGAACATACATAAATATAAAATCAGCTCTAAAGAGCAGAGATTTCGCCAACAAGAATATTCAAACCGCGGACCTACATATGATGCAGTATTCGTTTTCTGACTGAGTTAATTGTTCTAGCTAGTAGTTAGGTTGAGACAAATTAACTTGAGTAGGGGACGCAGAAAAAAAGTTTGCTTGTCCGCAGAAAGAGGCCAACTTACGGTGAAGAGGACAAAATACTTCTGGTTGTCCTCTCCGACGCAGTTGTTTATCCAGGGACAGTGGTGGTCCATTTTGCGCACGCAGCGTCTGCACACGGAACAATGGTGAGCCCTGGGGGGCTTGAGACTATCGCATTTGGTGCACTTGTAGGCCGCCTCACCGGGCTGCAAGTTTAACGCGTCTATGTTCTCCTTCGTCGCAGTCCCCAATTGCAGGGTGCCCTGCAATCGAATGAATAATTAGTTACAAACTTACAGTCCATCTCAATAAAATGTTGATTATGCTTCAAGCCTTCTCGTTCAAATTCGATGTTCCAGGCCTTTCAATGGTCAATGACGCCCAAGTGCTTTCGCTATAAGCACGAAAAATATTCATGTCCCAAAAAGATCTAAAAAATAATCGATATTTTGGCAAAACGGACCAAAAATATCATATTAAAACAAAGACAAAGCGAAGCTTCAAACCACGATACAACACAAAAATAGCATGTCAAACAAAAAAATTGATTCATCAAAATTGTCAAATCTTTGTCTTGATTTTGTCTCAAGTAAAGTTCCTTCAAAAAAAACATGCCGGATAAGACAATTGAATGCTAATTTAGAATCCGAAAAAAACTTACAGAAGGGAACAAAGCCGACATTACATGAGCAGACATGTTGAGCCAAAATTGTTTTTTTAAAAAAGAAATTTCTTAAAAGAGGCCGCTAGTTCAGTATAAAAAAAACCAAATAAAGGGGGGAAAAACAGGCAAGAATGAAAAACTGATATACTGAAATCGGAGATCGTAAAATTACTACCAAAATGAAGACAAATTTCGAATAGAACGGGCATTAAAAAGCACACATGCCCACAATTTGTCTGCTAGTTGACGAAAAAACAGGATGGAAATGACCACCACTTTGAATCATTATGCGAACAAAATTATTTACGAGAAAAAACTCTTCACAGATGCTAAGCAAAGCTTCGCGCCCTTTCCGATACAAGACTGAATGACTTTCACTACTTGAAGATGAACCGACAAATCGAAAAACCAAAAAAAAACTTTATAAGTTCCAGTAAACAAATTCTTGGAACTCAATAACCCGCACCTTTAGATTATAAACAAACAGAAGTGAAGCAAAGCGTCACTCTGCTTGACATTTAACACATACATAGCATGCCAAAATAATCAAATGAAATGGATGAAATCCTCACAAAAAAATTTGAAAAGATTTCCATTATTTATCTTAAATTTCTTTCAAGAAAATATACAAAAAAACTAAAAACAAAGCCAAAAGACAATTGGAAAAGAGTCAATGAGCGCTAGGGAAAAAAATACTGACTTGTTTTTTAAAAACCTCTAAATTCGAATTTAAAAAACGATCAGGGCCTATATAAGAGTCTGAACTGCGTTTTAAATCAGCGGTTAAAAAATTTACCATCTGATCATTCTATGAATTAAGTTAGTTACGGGAAAATTGTCAAGTACCCGGTTTCAATACCCCTTGCTTATCTCAAAAGTAATTATCTGATTGCAACAGCCTTCTTATAACTAATTGATTGGATATATTCAAATAACAAACTTCTCCGAAAAGTAGATACAAAAAGATTAACAAATTAGTTTTTTTTTGTTCTGAATAAAGCACTTAAAAATGTACACAATTCTACTGGAGTAGAATAAACGTTTCAAGGCTGAACTCGAATTATAAAAATAAGACTATTAAAGATCTGCCCGTTCGCTGGCATTATTTGCTCGAAATTAGACTAAAAATTAAAACTCAAACCGATTTTTCTCGACACCGAAAAAATTAAGAGCCATTCGAACGACGTCTGAAAATGAAGGGGGACTGAAACTGATATCACTCAACCCATTCTGATGATAATTTGAGATACCTGATGTTGCGTGAAAGGCGGAAAACGAATTTACAATGGATTTTTAACTTGTTCATATTTTTGTAAGCAAAATTGAAAAAAAAACTTCTTGCGATACAACTTACATCAACAAAACATTATACGTTTGCCATTAGAGGTTCATAAAAAGCGTTATATAGGCATTGTTAATCATTGACTGTCTTGAAACAACACAAACGTAAAAAAAATATATTCCGACTTCCAAACTACACAGAATCAGTTGACTGAAGCGATCTAACGTAGACTGAAGCCACAAAATCAAATAAAAAGAAATAAATTTATTCCACATCAGAGTTGATGAATTTGCAAACATCAGAAAAGCTTTCAATTATTTTGAATATAGTTTAAATCAGAAGACAAGCTTATGATTTGAGAATTTGAGGCCGGTGAAAAACCGTCAGATATTATAGCTTGCATTTGAAAAAAAAAACGGAAATCGAGTCGACGAAAATAAGGACGAAATCCTTAAATGCGATGATACACTTTAGTTGAAAAAAAACTCACTACCTCAAATCTAGCTACTAGTAGTCGCAATATAATTGTCCAGAAACTGAGCCTGTCAGCCCGCAAGTGACTCCGGACGTCTTTCCTACAAATTTATGAGAAAGTTATTTATAGAAAAAGTTCCCGCTTACGAGACACTTGCTCTCGAAAGAGTAGAAAAAAATTTAAAAGGCCAGAAAATAGTGCGAATTGACTGTTCTTAAAGCGTAACAGTCAATAAGAATGGGTGAACCCGTCGTGTCCGAAGTACCGAATTAAAAAAAATGACATATCATATACCTATCAGGTTCTAGTATCAACTAGTCTTGGACAATTTCGATGAAATTCTACCTTTCGGATCTAACCACGAAAAAACTCCTTATTTATTATGATTGATTGTTTACTTACCGGGTCTGTGCACATGGCTTTAATGTGCGAGGCGTAGGCCATGAAAACGAGGAAGTTGAAGAGGAAAAAGTTGAGGACGTCGTAGAATGTGTTGTGTGTGAAGGGGGAGAGCATGATGGCATTGACCGAGAACAGGCCATACAGCAGCAGCAGATATGTGAAAACTGCACACGTCAGCCCACAGCAGTCTAAACAACAACCCCAACACACAAAATACAAGAATTCCACCACAGGTGAGCGGTGGTGAAGTAGTTACGTCTCCACCTCTCAATCGAAAGTCGGATGTTCGAGGACCACCATGATCCGTGCTCGTTGCTGGAGGGTGAGGCAACATTACCCGTCCCAGAAAAACAACCAAAAATACTGCATGTAGTTCTTAAGCAGGGGCACAACAGCGGTTCGCCGTGAAGAGCTGTACAGCTCGTATGTTGGTCCTTTCCCTTGAGGATAAATGGTCTTAATGCCCTTATATGTGAACTTTTAGTGACATCGCTCAGAAAAACAAAAAAATTATGCAGTTTAACATATGTTTAAATCATCGAGGTATGGATGATCCTCTATGATTCTTAGACTTGAAAGTTAATTCATAGGCTATATTTACCAGCTATAAGCCAGAAGGTGACACCTTGTACAGTTTTCATGTGGTGTCCCGGTTTGTACATTTTCTTTGGCGGTGACCGAGGCGGCTGCACTTTGACTTCGTCCAGACCTCCCCATGAAGACGCAGCACTTGCAGCCGAGGAGGAAGACGAAGACGCCGAATCGGCTCCATTGTTTCTCCCAATTCCTCCTCCGCCGTTAGAGCCCATTTGTGGTTTTAAGGAGGAGGGAGGCGATAGGTCAACGTTCTCCATACTCTGCTGGATATGTGCAGCGGAGGCTGGTTGGGAAGCCGATTGGTTCCAGCTCCAAGTATCCACTCGATCTCGCTGGTCCTGGTGGGATAGGTAGTGCTCTAATTTGTCTTTTTGTTGCATCAAGCACCAACCGAACTAACTTGTCGCAGCAGTCTGGACTAATAGTTCCCGAGCAACATATGATCTGAAAAGAGCTCCGACATTAACTTAACTTATTAACGTTCCCATGAAGGCGTCATTGTATTACTAACAAGCTCAGGAGTGCACATCAGCTGCAGCTGCCTCTCGTTATTGGCTATAAAATACGAACGCGAATTAATACTCAACACAGAGGCGAAGACGAGCTTGGCACCACTTGAGATGCAGCAACTTGTATTATAAAAAACTGACAAAAAAATCAAGATAATTGTCGCGCATCGCCAAATTTTTTGAAGACAAATATTTTTTAGGAGAGAGGAAAGGGGTCGCTATTAAGAACTTCACGCGCTGCTTAATTAAGATTAATTAAAACAAAATTAGACGAAAATCAAATTAAGTCTGAAAACCAAATTTCTGACCAATTTTTGCCCAAATAGGATAAAATTTAAACCCGTTTTTCTCGACAATTAGACAATTATAACTTTTATCGAATCCAAAAAAAACACGACCAAAGGGCTCAAGTATAAAAACAAACTTGACCCTAACAAGCTTTCTTTCAGGTAATAAAAGTTGCACTAAGGCGGGCGAGCAAACAATTTAAAAAAACTCACAAACCAACAAAAACCAACCAATACACCGAGTAAGAAATCAGCACAATTTTAACTTTGTAGGAGCCGCGAAATAAGGCAGAGAAAAGGGGAAAATCTGACTCCTGAACAGATAAAATTGGAGTTTGTTTTTTCCAAAACCTTTCGAAATCTGATTTTTTTATATTTTCGAGAAAAACGCACATACAATGAGATAAGAACTAAATAAGACAAGTTAGCAAGAACACCCCGTTATTCTGAAAAATTATAGCCAATTTCCAATTTTCCATTTCGAAAATTTAAAACTTCAATCAGACAAAACCCAAAAAAAATAGAAAAATCATATTAAAAAGAACAGTGAAACATACAGAATAATGCACACCATCGAAAAATTCTACAAAAAACTATGCACTCGAAAACGAAATGCGAATAATAACAGGGAAAAAAACATAAGAGAAAAACTGAAACAAAACTGAAGACGATGAAATTATGCTATTCTAAGATCTAAATGCAGCCATAGAGGAACATAACACATACGCATTATTAAAAAATTGCAAAATTAACTAAAGCTGACATTTCTAAACAAAAAAACTATTACGTCAAAAAATGCACACGAACTAAGAAATTGAATACTTGCAGCAAAAGTATATAAAATAACAGTCGGCTTGACCAGAGGAAAAATGTTTCGACAAAGGTAACTTTTTGTTCCGACCATTGAAAATGGTGAGGAACTTTGTATTCGGGTGTTTTAGTTTTTTTTCTTTTTGTTTTCAGCGCACAATCAGCTTCTACAAATAATCATCGGACTGATTTGAGTGATATATCATATTAAAGCCCTTTCAGTCGTGATTTGAACGACATTAAAAAATTTCAAAAACGTTAGTCCAGTGTCGAGAAAAACCGGTTTGAAATTTTTGACTTTACGTCTTATTTCGAGCGAGTGAGCAGGCTTACATTAGCATATTTAATATGTAAGCTTAAATTAAGCCTTAAAAATTAAGTTTTAATGAATTGAAGTTAGTTTTTGTAGTTTTAAACTTCATCTTAGGAATCAAAAACTTCAAAAATTTGGGAATTTTTTATTTTTTTATTTGTCTTGAAAAATTGTTTTCCAATTTGCATATTTTACAATGACTGACGAAAATGCCTAAGCTCTACTTTTTTTTTGCTCAGATTACTTTATCACAGCACGCCGAAAGAACGACACTAATTTGAAACAATAATTTATTTATCTTTTTTAGATTGGTCGGAACATTCTGTGCTACTTGCACAGTAACCGGCTATCCTTGTTTAAAACTGGATACAAAAAAATTTGAAGCAAATCTTTTATTAAAAAGATCTGTGAAGCCTGGAACTTGGTTTCGCTATATCATCATTCAAAGGATTCTTAAAAAACAAATAAAACGAAACACTCACATGCAACTCTTGATAAAGCAACCTTGATTTTTAGCCTAAAATTATTAATTATTTTTTAAACTAATACAAAGCAGAAAACCTATATCGATATGTGTTGAAAGTTAAGATACACGCTATGGTTATAGAGTTACGATACACGTTTTATTAAGTGGCAGTAACTTATTGACGTTTATAAAAAAAACGGCGCTATAATAACAAAATTAAGCAAGGAGGCGACAACGCCGAAATTATGTTTTCCAAACGCAGACAATTTTTAGCAACAAGAATTGCCAGTTACTAGGCAAATAGCACACAAAGCTCCGTCCCGAATTATTTTAGATTTTCTTTGTCAATTTTTTATATTTTTAAAAATCAAATAGGATATTTTCTTTATTAATTTATTTTTTCAAAGCCACTTTTTTGCGCATAGTTTGAGCAGATAAACTCAAATATTACTAAGACTTCTAAGCCGAAATTTAATGACTACAATTATCTTTACAAATTTGACACAGAGATTACGCTGCAATTCGCGAACACAAGTGAAAAAACAGCGAAGGCTAAAGTAAAATAATGAAAAAAAAAAAAAAAACCTGCCTTGAAACGAATCATTTTCGTTATGCGCCGGAAACCTGCCTACTTCAGCCTGGACTCTCATTTCCACGCATTTGCGCCAAGGAGGACAAAACACTTGCTACAAATAAGGCAAACAAATACTTGCTGATAAATTGCCAATACTATGCAGCATAGTGCCACCAAATGAGCAATTGTAATTGCGAGTTAGGTTTAAAAAATGCGGATTCGTAAAAAAAAACACTTATATTGATAACAAGAATTTTTTTCAGATTATTCATTTTCTGCTTTTGTATTTCTTACTGCTGGGACGCGTTAGACTGCGTTTTACCACCTAAAACCGAATAGTGTATAACTTATTTAAACGCTTTTCGCATTATTCGCTTGCTTCACTCGCTCCAAATTATAATAAAAATCAAAAACTTCAAAGAAATTTTTCTCGATACTTTGACGTTTTTTCTTTGATGTTTCTTTGACGTTTTTTAATGTCCATCGAATCACGGCCTAAAGGGTTGTAAAATGAAAAATCGCTTAACCCATTCTGATTATTATTAGTGCTTCTTATTTTTAGCGTGAAAAATATTGTTAAGACACCCGAATATATTGTTAAGACACCCGAATATTGTTAAGATACACGAGTTTTCCGGTCGAGCATGAGCCAGATGCGCTGATGCCCTCAATTATGAACGTTACCTCAGAGTCAAACGTCACCTCCTTGAACTATTTCTCATTACGAAGAAATTAGAAACGAATCAGTGATTGAATTTGACACGTTGTTAAGGATAAAAAAGACATTAATGTGTAACAAGCCTTCAATAACCGATTGTGTGCTAAATCTCTACACATATACTCAGGTGAGAAAGTCTTACAAGTCAAAATTTTGTAATTTTGGCAGCGGGAAATTGTCGAAAGCTTTTGTACACCAACACAAAAACACAGACGCTGAAAAAACCGTTCGCAAACTTTGCAACTAATTAGTAAAAATTGACAGAAAACTGATTACTCCATCCGCCTAGACGCGCATGGTCGTATCTGGCGCAGTCCAAAACTTGAAGTACGAAAATGTTCAATGCACGATACGCAGCGAACTAATTGGCAGACGAAAACACCATTTATACATTGTGTATTTTTTATTTTCGTGAAAACTTTTGACCTGTTAAAGGTGATAAAATCTGGCAAACTGGGAAACTGTTTAATTAACACTTCTAGAAGCGAAAAACGTTTAGGGCGAAACAACCGGAAAACCAGTAAGTAAAAGAAAAACAAGGCGGTGGAAGGAAAAAATAGGCTAGGAGTTTTAAAAAAAGTTGTTCAAAAAGTGGCAGCGGTCTGAAAATTAAGAAGATCGGGTGATATATCGGAGGCAGAACACAGTCGTGAAACAGCTACTTGCTGAGGCTAAAAAGAATCAAGTCCGAAATGGTTTCAAGATCTCTCAAAAACCGAGACACGACAGAAAATGTTCCGTCTTGCCAAGCAGAGAAAAATGAGCAGAAGGATGTGGTTGGAGCGAAATTCATCAATGTGAAGGAAACTCCTTTTGACCAAGATGTTCTCTTGCAGTGGCAAAGCTACTTCTCCAATCTTTTAAATGAAACAAAACCGTTTGAAGATATGCCCCCAGTGGCTGCCCATTGGAGGAATTTACTATCCAGGAAAAGCCACTTGCACTGAGAGAGATGAAAAAAGAAAACCTCAGGGCCAACAGGGCTAACTTCGGTGATTGTAGATTTGCTGACGTTAAGAAGTACTCAAGGAAGCCTGGGACTCTGCTCTAATCACCTGCAACTGCAGCGAAAGTGAAACTGTTACTTTTTACAAAGGAAAAGGCGATCCGTTAGAATGTGGATCCTACAGAGGCATCCGATTGCTGGAACACGCTTGTAAAACTTTCGACAAAATTCTAGGAAAACGTCTGAGACTATTGATGTAAAGAGATGACAAGCAATTTGGCTTTATGGGTTGCAGACCGATGCCGTTTTTTTAGACAATTGAAGGAACTATTTGTGGAAACGAAAAAAACCCTGCATCACATATTCGTTGAACACAAAAAAAAATTTCGACCGCGTTCCTAGGGAATTGATCCCATGGACCCTGAGGCAACAGACTTCCGAAAAAAAGTGGTACGACTAATAATATGTTTGTACACCGAGTCTAAAACAAGTGTTCGCCGGCCCCAAGGTAGCAGTGATTAATTCGAAAATTAAGTCGGCGTGCATCAAGGATCGGCACTTGGCCCATTTTTATTTACAATGGTAATGGAAGAGACTACGCGATACTGTCGTTCCATGTTAACATGGGATCAGCTATATGCAGATGACCTCGTGATATCCGCTGAAACGGAATCCCAGTCTATTTTTAAATAAAGATATATTTCAAAAACGCGGTTTAACAATTAACGTGGATAAGACCAAGCATTTTATTTCTGGTCAAAAGTAAATTTCTCAAAAAAGCGGAAAATATCCATGCGGTTGTTATTCAAAGAGAGTCGGAGCCAATTCAATACGCTGCAACTCCTGTAATCAAGGGTGCATAAAAATGCAGTGGTCTGAATAAAAAAACCTAAACAATGCTAACTTTGTTTGTCCAAGATGCAATAATCATTCCAATTATCGCTCAAATAATGCTATTCTACGGGTCAATCAATTTGAAACCTTGGATACTGTTAAATAATTATGCTATCTGGGTGCTATGATTTCCGCTGAAAGTGACGCAATACGTGCATCATTGGTCATAAGTGCAGATTTCTGGAGGAAATGGCGGAATATTGCTCTTCTGCTGCTGAATAAAGATATAGACTTAATTACAAGGTGTCACATCTAAGAAGCTTGTCTCCATTAAGTTCTGATGTACTGTTCCGAAATCTGATAAGAAAGCTCTGCGTAATATTACAGGAGTCACTTAAGACAGTTACCAACGAGCAGTAATTAAAACGACAGGTCTTGATGATCTGGACAGGCTACAAATTCGGTCGCGGCTACAATGGTTTGGCCATGTTCACCAAAGAGAAAATGCCCATGCGTTGAAATCAACAGACGATCATGTTTCAGTCCCAGAGAAAAGACCGACAAGAAGGCCTAAAAACGCTAGATTTATTGTAATAAACAAACCCTGAATACTTTAGGCCTCAAATCCACAGGCTGGCTTAATCGAAGAGCAAGGAAAGTCGTGTTATATTTTTTTGGTTAATCAGCCAGAGGTATAACCCAAAAGTTAACTTTTTATGTTCAACTGTGCTTATCCTTTTTTTTAGTTAACCAGCCAGAGGCGTAACACAAAAGTTAACTTTTTAAGGTCAACTGTGCTATGGCTATCTTACAAGAGCTCACCTTGTAAATTACACCGCACGTGCGATGAACCTGCAATCATACCTTGAATGCTACTTAGAATGCCCAACTTTCCGAATGCCCAACCCCGCCACATTGGGAAAACGGACAATGATCGCATTAGTAATTTGTAGTAGTAGTAGTAGTACTAGTAGTAGTAGTAGTAGTAGTAGTAGTAGTAGTTTTGACCTGTTTAGATTTCGGTAATCCAACTGAAGCAAAAAAACTGACGCACAAAAACTAAAGATTCGCAAAAAAAAATAGACTCAAGTAACTCATTTTGAAACGACTCAAGTAACTCATTTTGAAACGATATCTTTTTCTGGTTTTTAAAAAAATAAATAAATAGGCCTATTGCTGTGTTGCCAATAAATTGGGTGTAAAACAGAATGAGTCGTAAGCCAAAAGGCGTCATAAGCCAACAGGAGTCGTAAAAATTTTCACAGAGAACACTGGCCAAAAATTTATTGCTCTTGGATATATTTAAATTTGAATTAACCCTTAGCTGTAATTTTATCTCACGGTTACTCAGCACGAGTCATTCACCAGCAGGTTCTGAGGCTTTTTAGAATTCAATTTTTGACAAAAGTTTTGCGTTTTGGGCACTGACAGATGCTCGCTAGTAACGAAACTCACACACAAAACAATCCCATCTTAAATGACACAAAAAAGGCATTAAAGCCGATCAAGAACAGACCGAAATTTTTCACATGACTCGCCACTTAATGAAACTGTTGAGCATGAAAAGACTTTCCAAAATGTATACAAAATTTTTTTAAAGCAATCGTAAAGTTAAAGTGAGCCCATTCATCAAATTATCTTTATCATTTATTGAATGATTCATAAAGTCGACTTTTAGGTTATTAGTTCACCAAAAAGGTCATATCTCTGAAACTACATCAGGTATTAGAATTATTAACATAAAATGACCCCTTAACAATGTCCACAGCATACAGCGGCTTTTTCGATTTTTTCAATCACAACTCGCAAGCGAAAAAAAATTGGGCAGTAAAATTTAGAGTCAAGATTTTCAAAATCTGAGTGTACCCCAAAAATACCCAACCACATAATTGAGAATTTCAAGCTTTGTTATTTTTTTTTTAAATTCAAAGTACATTAAAAAATCATGAAACGCCATATCTCAGCGGTCAGAGCAGTAAAACTTAGCGGCCAGAACTGCAACTCTTGTGTGTACACTGGCATCACCCCCACCATAAGGCAATGTATTTCACGGTTTATCTCCAAAAATACCTAATTGCATAGTGTAAGTGAATTTTCAACACAAAAGAGGACCTCTTAAAGGTAGTCAGAATGCAAATGTTTTTTTTTTCAATTTTTTTTTCAAATACTTTCATATCTCGGCAAGTACAATATAAAAATTAAAACCAAATTTGCAACCCTTAAGATTACCCTGACAGCAGCATAAAACGAGGTTGAAAACTTGAAACGTGTTAATTTTTCTTTAACACCTAAAACATTTATGAAAAACCGCCACCAAATCATAGAAAAAAACGACGCCATATCTCGGTTGTTTTAAGATTGTGATCGGGGATGTTTGTTTAGAATATGGCAGATGTGCAACCCAAGTGTGTACCCTGACAACACTCCACAATAGAGCTTATAAATTCAAGTTTGATTGGTATCTTTCTAATATAGGTTCAAAAAATAGCAGAAAACGCCAAATCTCGGAAACCAAAATTAACTGAGAATTCAAATTCTGATTATATTTTAAGATCACTTTATTGAAAAAAAGAAAAACAAAAATTTAAAAACGCCAGATCTCTGAACCCAATAGTATTTGAGCAGTTAGTTTTGGAGGCCAGATTTGCAACGCTTGAGTGTACCCTGTAAAGAACTTCACGTTTTTTAGTATTTATTGTAAATATTAGTTTTATATAGAAAAACAGAAAAAAACTGCCTACCTCTGAAACCCAACAATTTGAGCAGTAAAAATCAACGACCATCATTGCAACTCTTAAATTTACTTCGACAACACCCAAACATAGGGTTGAGAATTTCCAATTTTGTTATTTTTTCTAAAACCTACGTTTTTGAGAAAAATTCGAAAAAATCATGCAAAAACGCCACATCTCGAAAAACATAAGGACTTGAGCAGTAAAATTTTGAGGTTAGATTTATAATTTCTCAGTGTACCACAACATCATTCAATTATAATGTCAAAAATTTCTAACACTCAAAAATTCTGAACAAAAAATTTTGAAAATAATGAGCAAAAAACATAAAAAACGCCATATCTCAAAAACCAAAAAAATTGAGCAAAAAAAAACTTGAGGCAAGATTTGCAACCCATGAGTAAACCGTGACAGTACCAAACGATAGTGCAGAGAATTTCAGGCTTTGCAAGTGTTTTTTCAAACTGAGTTTTAAATAAAAAATCGACAAAAAACGACATATCTCTGACTCCTGAGTGTACCTTGACAACATCCAACCATAAAGTTGAAACTTTCCAGTTTTGTTACTTTTTGAAAAAAAAAGCTATCAAAAAAACATAGATAATGGGAAATCAAAAAATATCTGGGAAATCAAGAAGATTTGAGCAAATATTTTTCGAGACAAGATGTGCAATCCCTGAGTTCACCATGACTGCACACCACCATAGGGTTGATAACAAGGTAGAGTTTGAACATTCGCGCTTCAAAAGATTTCAAAACTTCGATTTGAGTAAACAATTTAATCCTTGCAAGGTAATGGCCTTTAAACAGGTCAACCTGGGGACTTCCTAAACATGTGCCAAGTGAAACGCTAGCTGAATCCTGAACATATAAATGTGGATGGCAAAAACCCAAAAACACACTAGTCCTCCTCACCACTCATGCTGGCATCATGGTTAAAACCTTACAATGGGCCTAGCATTCATTAAATGGAAATTTGAAAAACCTTCTAAGCATGTCAACATGCGATATAGCTTAAGCTTGCAAAAATTCTTTCAATAATGATGCAAAATTTATAATCTTTCAATAATAATGCTTCTAACAGGCATTATTTTCGTACAAAAGGTAAACAGCAAAGGTATAACTAAAACTGATACAGAACTTAAATTTTTGCTTCTTAATTGTTTCGAGACCCTCAAAAATATTATTTATTGGCGCCATAGAAAAACCCTTAGGATTGCTCATTTAACCATGGAAATCGTACGAAAGAAACAAAGGGGGTAAGCTTAGGATGGTGAGGGTGTCAAATCCCTCAGGTGAGTTACCAGCACCATTCCCAAAAATCCGCCACTGATTCAAACATTCTAAAATTTGCAAAAGAGTCGAGAAAAACGGAAACTTGTTTTCTAATCTGATTTCGAGCGAGAAAGCGTGCAAGTAACTTTCGTTCTATGCAAATTGGTTAATTAGGCTATTGAAAACTCATTTGAAAATTCATGTAGCGCTTCCATGGCACATAAAAACATAGCCAACAGAAAGTCCAAAACCTTTAAAAGAACAACGAAACCAAAAAAAAACACGTTATAACTCAATTTTCATAAATTGTCTATGATAGTACATTTATAAACCAAAATTTTTTTAAATTCGTCCATCCTCACCTCAATAAAATCCGCCCTTGTTTTTAGACAACAAAAGAATCTAGGACAAAATGTATTTGGTTCTAAAAACTATATCTAACTGAAACAAAATTCATATCCATTTATTTTTAGGATAACTAAAAATCGCAAGTTTATACTTGTATATTGCCGGTAGATTATAAGAAATATGACAGCGCAAAGATTAATAATGCTTTAAGCTGAACTGGGTGGCGTACTGAACGCTTGCTTTGCATTGTGACACTTGAGGTAAAATAGGCGTTTTGCCGTTTTCTGGATAAAAGTAATATCTTTCGGCATCAGAAACTCGTTCAGTAGATTCCACCTAGTGTCATTTTCGTAGTTCTCGTGACTGGCGACAATAAAGGTGGCAATTGACTCTGCTGCAAGAGAGTGCAATGTATTAGGTGTGATTGAGACCTTCATCAGTTCGCTAGATGACACTTCGTATCTCGAGTGAACATTGGCATGCTTGAAGCCTCCGAAAAGGTAGACCGAATCTTTTATTGTGCTTCCAGCGTGCCAGAATTGACGAGCCCTGCAAAAATAAGCACGTTTCAAGAGAGTAAACATCAAATAAGTACTCGTTGATACTAGGGGCCCAACTAAAGCTGGAGGTACCTGTTCGATCAATAAGCCTTCCTTTCGATCGCATTCAAAAATCACAGATTAGGGATAAAAGGCCAAACTGACTTTTCTTAGGGTCAAAAATTTTAGTAGAAAAAAATTTGCTTTTAACCGCTAAGGCAGAAGAGTTTTCCATAAACCGTCCATTCAATTTAAATCAAAATCTCAGATTTGGGGGTGTAACTTTCGAGAAAAGTCGAGAAACGGTAAAAAAAAATCAAAATTTTCCGAGTGTTAATAATTTTTGTATAAAAAAATATTGACGTAGGGGGCCTATACAGGGGAGCTTTCTACAGCTCATTCTTTTGACTGAAATCAAATTTGTACATTTGCGAGAGAAAAAGTGAAAGTTTCAAAAATTTGTCAACGTTTGTTTTTTTCCAGGGCCGAAACCTTTTGTGAAAAGAATCGTGCATAGCCGCATAAACAGGGGTGGTGCCCATAAGCCGTCGTTTCGATTGAAATCAAAATCTCAATTTTTGGAGGGTGTAAACGTGGGGGAATTCACAATATCTCTAGGCCGGCTTTCTCACTCGTTATCGTCCTTCGCACCGCCGCAATATGTTCCCTTTAGTACTGGGGTCAGTGGGGCAACCGATTCCCAATACTGTTTACAATCCCAAAAGGGTTGATTTGGTGGTTGGCTTCTCTGTATCTTACTATGCTGCTTGCCCCGTGATCTGTGCTCTTCCGACTGTATCTCACTTGTCAATCAATAGTCGATCGCAACAACAATTCCAATAATAAGACTGAATTAGGAAATAAATATAACCAAAGACAGAGTAGCCTCTAAATGGCGGAAATATCAATTAGTCGTTCAAATAAAGAATAGGACTGCGATTTGTATTAATTAACTAACCCCCTGCTCACTGCAGTTCAATTAACGCCTTACTAGTAACTAACTAACTAACGTTCTCCTCGAGAACTTCTTTCAATATCGATCGTTCAACAACGATCCCACTATCCTCTAGATAGCCTAACTTATATCCACTAACTAACTAAATCACGTTAACAAGTCTTCCAACTTGTTCCCACTTTACTTTGAGAAAAAAGCGACTACCTCAACTCGTAGCCCAAATTGTTCTCTCTCTAACTGAGAACCAACTATACTCTATCTCAGTATCAATTGTTCTCTCCCGGTTCGGTGGTTGTACTGTTCCCTATCGCTACTAACATTTACTTAACTAGCGGTCACTCAGGACTTGTCAGCTGAATCAACCATTAGGTCAGCTTTAATTAAATATCATTCACTTAACTAGCTGCCACTCAGTTAATCAGGACATACTGAGCAAACATTGGGTTCAACTGCAAAATCAGCTCCCAATCGTATTTGACAAATGAACCCTTGCATGATTTTATTTTAGTTCTTCCTTACTTTTTCCCTTTCCTATGAATTGGGTAGTTCTCACTCAACCGGTAATTTAACTTCCGTGATACTTGAAAAGTTTCCATTTTGGTCATTTTAATTTTATTCCCCTAAGTCCAAGGGCTGGGTAATTCCCTTCGCCGTGTCCGTTTGGATCCGAAAAAACACCACAAGAATTTATTTAATATGCTAGGGCTGTTCATAAAATCTTCATCCCGAAATTCCCATTTCCCCCCATAGATGTTCCCAATTTTTGCACGGGGCTGTATTTTTACTTGTTTGTCGTTTTATCGAAAGTCCAACTGGAGTGGGTTAAGCTGACCCCAATGTTTGCTAATTACAGAAAATCACTTTCGCTCGCGTACAAAGGTCAAAACTAAGAAATCTTTATTTAGGGGCCTCCCCTTACCTCCCCAGGTGGGTAGGTAACCCTTTACGGGTCCTTACAATGCTAATTTATTACTTTTTAGGGGGTTCTGGGGTCTTGGGGTCTAAAATGCCAAACGACCTCTTAGAGGTCATCCGAGGTCAAATGAGGTCAAACGCGTCCAAACGTCTTAATTTCGATGGGAGATCATTCTCACTAAGTTTCATTCATATCGGACCATCCCTTCCCATATTTTCGAAAATATTGGGTCAATTAACATTTTTCCCTAAAACTTCCATTTTCACCCCATAGGAAGTTCCGGAGAGGATTGGATCGCTAGATGTCCCCCTACTGGGTTGGGCCCCCCTTCACATTGGTGCATTAAAATCACAAGTCAATTATTACTATCAGGTGTTAATAGCCTTATTCAATTTTCAAGTGCTAATAGCTTCCGACGTAGCCGCCGGATTGGGTCCAAACATTGATACATTATAGGTCTTCCCCAAACCTACCATCCCCCCAAGTTTCAGCCTCCTAGCATCATCAGGGGTCAAGAAATAACAAAAAGGGGGTTTTGTTTACATAAGGCGTAAAACCGGAAGTAATGACCGGATGCGTTCAAAATCCTAGTGGTCAACTTCCCTCGCCTAGGGCTACAACATATTGCAATATGAAGTCATTCTGACCATTAGTTACCGGTTTACAAAAAGTGCTAATTGCATTTTCGGAAATCATTATCACTCGCCCCCCAGGGGTCCCAGGGGTCTGAAAATTTGCATGCCCGGCTAAAGTCATCTCTATTAGTCACCCACCAATTTTCATAAGGATCGGACGAGTGGTTCCCAATCCGGGGGGGGGGGGGGTTTCCAGAATTTTAGCGCTTTCTTCTTTTTTCCAATTCTTCGCCCTAGAGGCCAAATTCAAGGTGCAAAGTCCGATTACGATTGTTTGCTCTCAAACTAAGCTTATCTATCACTGAAATTCATTGCTACAAGTTCATACAGTCGACGTTAAAATCAAATTTCGCAATTTTCAACCGTTTTCATCATGAATTACCAATCCTACACCCAGGTTTCTATAGCATGTAATACAGTAGAATCACCAATTCTACAATCTTCCCTTCTAGTCTATTATTCTCCCGAATAATGCTAATGACAAAACTTTTTACCGTTTTTCTTTTAAGACAAATAACCAATCTAACACCTCAACTCGACTCTTTGTCTAATATCTAATCCCTCTTTTGACAACAATTTTTTTTCTTAACTAGAATTTCGCTTTTTTTTCTGCTATACTACATCGCCTTGTACTGCTCTCTAATTATAGCTCCCTAAAGACCCGGTATATCCACCATTGTATACGTGTTGCGACGCAGCGCACCGCAGGCTTCAGTTTCCGTAGACTCTTACATAATCAATTTATCTATGTTAGCACCAAGGGTTGCTTCCTTGAGTGAAGCAACTAAGAGTCTAAGAAAGATTTTTAAGACGTTGTGAAATACCTCCACCATTCTATCGAAACAATAAATTATACTACCAAGATTTTCACTGAGTTTCTATCCGTCTTACTGGTGGAGATGTTTCTAAAGCACTTATAAACATCGCAAATGCGATTAGAATGTGAGAGAGGGAGAAAGAGCTTTCAGTTTTACTCACTGAACTGAACTGAACCCCGTACTAGTTAACCGACCTCTTGTTTCAAGTCTCTTTCATCGCTCCTCCTGTCGTTTCCATCTGTCTACGAGGTGCCGGTAGTCCTGCTGCGGCACAGTCCAGTTATCCGACTCCCCCATAGCATCTGGAGGACGCCAACACTGCTTCGGGATCTCGCCCTCTGATGCAGCCGAGCTCCGGTCAACTTCATCTTCACCAAACAAAGACAGCTTTTTCCATCGATCGATCAAATTGTGGAAGTAGGCGGCCGTTACATCTCTAGGCCCCACTTTCCTTCTACTGCCAAGCCACTCTCGGTCATCATTTTTTCGGAATCGCTTGAATGACCTGAAGGAAACTTCTGATCTGCTACCCGCAAGCAAATTTTGACGTTCGTCCCATACTTTCGTAGACTTTCTGTGTTCGCACGTCGTTTCCGTCATCTCTTGGCACATTTCAGCCCAATCAGTTTTTAATTCGTCCATGTTATTGTCATCTGGCCTTTGCACGGTTGCAATCATCATCTGTCCTCCCGCAGAGGCATTGTCCCCACTTCTCAGAAAACCATCTGCGGTCTCGTCCTCGTCAAAACTCAACTCATCATCGTCAGTCCCGTCTGAGGAGCCTTTCGTTTTTTCATCGTTTCCGCCCGGAGCAATCGTTACTTCTCTTCTCCCCCGTCCAACCATCGCGAGTACGCCTCGCATGCCGTTTGCGTGTGACAGCAAGAATGTAATTGGGCGACTCAAAATTCGAAAGGAACGGGGAAATAATCCAGTTCCACACGTTGACTCCCCCACTTCAATCGTTTTCCCACTCGTAACCTCGCCTATTACCGCAGCATTCTCTTCACTATGCTCATCGACCGATTTCTCATTTTGTCCCATCTCCGTCGGGTAGACACGTTCCATTGAGTTGTCGTCGGGTTCGCAATTCCCCAGATCACCTTCTCTCAAAGAGCCATGACTCATTCCCTTACACTCGTTTTCCTGACCGCTAGTTTCGGAAACTTCGATGTCGGTTCGCTCGGTGGCCTCGTCAACCATCGCCGATTCGCCAATTCTGATCTCAGTCATTTCTGTGCCAGGTCCCGCACCCTCGTGATAAACCGGCACCGTGTCACAGGAGTCTGTAGTCGCAGCTGCCTTGGCGCATACTCTTCCTGAATCCATTCCACGTCGGACCCGAAATCTCGGTCTCCCTGGACATCTGAAACTAACCTGAATTGGACTACTGCACTTCGTTCCAGTTTTCAGAACTTCGTTCCTCATGTCGAAAACGAAACCTTCGTTCTGTTCATACCAAACGAGTCCAAGTGTTAGATCAACATCCAGTCCATCGACCACCAAGACCTCGGTCCTTCTGTTAAACTGTCCCAGCTGCAGCACGATCGACGCTCTGCCAACTACTTCTATACTGACTCCTGTTTTTGTCTCGAGAATGTCCCCGGCCTGTCTCAGGGGCATCTCTGATCCAATCGACCGGTAGGCTTCGTAGCTTAACAGGGTCCATTCAGTGTCTGGATCCAG